TGCCACTCACTCTGCCACTCTCTCACACACAAACAAACATACACAGATTCTCTCACTCGGCCTGTGTGTCTGATGGCTTTTACTTCTCATGTGGTTGTGTTTCAGACATAAAAAAATTAGATAACATATCAGTGTGTGTGTGTGTGTGTGTGTGTGTGTGTGTGTAAGCCCCTATGTCTAGTTGTGTCTGTGTTTTAGACTCATGATTTTACATGTAAGTCGGTGTGCCAGATAGACATAATCAATTGCACAACCTCTCGGCGTGTTGTGTGTGTGTGTTTGTGTATGTTTGCTTTCATACAAGACTTCCATATCCGTGTGCGAGTTAAACCAGAAACTGTGTAACGTATCTTTGTGTGTTATGGGTGGGTGGGAGGTTAAACAAAAAGGTGGGTGGTAGGTTGTTTTTTTTTTTAAAGAGGGTGGGCGGGGGCGGGGGGGGGGGTGATGTCAGAAACAAAAACTTGTATAACATATCAGTCCATGTATATATATATATACATCATATATATATATATATATATATATATATATATATATATATATATATATATATGGGTGTGCGTGCGTGCACGCGCCCGCGTGTGTATGTGTGTGTTGGGGGCGGGGCGGGGGGGTATTGGTGGAAACTTCCTGTCTCAAGAGAATTGAAGGGGAGACAATTCACGACTTCTGTGTGGCAGAAGTCAGCTGACAGTTCTGGTCTAAAACCCAAAAAGTTGGATAGGGCTTCCGCTGTGTGAAGAAGATCTTATCAAGAAAGTACATTTGACAAACGCAGTGCTCTAGTTTTTTCTGATAGTTTTATGTTGATTTTATGATAATCAACATGTAGTCCGTATGTTTTGTCGGTGAGTGTGTACTTAGTATGGTGTTTTTTGCAAGTGAAACCAAGTAAGCTCACTATTTCCTTTCTGGATGGTATATAAATAGACAAAATTGTATTTCTTTTGGGCACCTGATTGCGAAGCGATTAGTCGTTAACCTCATGCTGGTTTTTCTCCTTTTTTTCTTTCGCCTTTAATGCCTTCCGTTTAGAGAAACATACAATAAGTGGTCATCTATTGTCTCTGTATATCAAGCACAAAATGGTGTGTAATTGTTTTGTTTACGTTTAGTTTTAACATACTTAAGAAATCTGGCCTAATATTTGTTACATGTAGCACATCACATGTTGCCAGTTTGAAAGTCAGAAATTGATTATATTTTACTGGTTATTGTTTTTATGAAAACCTGACAGTGAAAGTTCAGGGAGCGACTGGCACGTTCTGTTGCGGTTTAAAACTCGGCTACGATATTTTGCGGTATCCAACCAAACGCTTCATTTTCAACAGTATATTAATAAATCGCCTGCTATGATATTCTTGATAGGGGATTTATTCCCTTCACCAAATTGAGATCCCAGTTCCCACATAGAGAAGTGACAAACTCTCAATGTTATAGATGTGGGTTTTAGAGCTAATGTTTAGGAGATCCAGTGTGGGTCGTAAGTGGAGCTTCGGACTTCGTGCTTTGTGTGACACACAGCGCTTGTAAGCAACCGACATACCCAGAGACACCTTGCCATATGGGATGAAGCAATTAGGCTGATACATACAATAACATATCTTATACGCATACTTTTACATATTTGTATGCACGTACAAGTTACATACATAAGCATACACATGTATCTTGTATTTTCAGAATGGTTTGAAATACACGCACTCACACACACATTCACATATGCGCACTAGCCTACACATACAAGCGTACCCACACAAATGAACACACATACACGTACATATAAGCATACACAAACGTACACGTGAGCATATATGAACATATGTACACACACACAAACGCACACATGGGCACACACACATACACACAAACGCCCACATGAGCACATATACAAGCGTACACATGAGCACACACGTACAAACGCACAAATTTGCACACACACACACACAAACGCACATATGAGCACACACAAACGCACACATAAGCACACGCACACATAAGCACACACACACACAAACATAAACATGTGCACACACAAATGCATACATGAGCAAACAAAAACGCATAAATGAGCACATAAAAACGCGCACATGAGCATACACAAACGCACGCATGAGCACACACAAACGCACACATGGGCACACACAAACGCACACATGTGCACACGCAAACGCGCACATGAGCACACACAAACGCACACATGAGCACACGCAAACGCACTCATGTGCACACGCAAACGCACACATGAGCACACACAAACGCACACATGAGCACACACAAACGCACACATGAGCACACGCAAACGCACACATGTGCACACGCAAACGCACACATGAGCACACACAAACGCACACATGAGCACACGCAAACGCACACATGAGCACGCACAAACGCACACATGAGCACACACAGACGCACACATGGGCACACACAAACGAACACATAAGCACACACAAATACACACAGGGAGATATTATGCTGCAACTGCTAATGTAGGCAACACGGACTTGCGCATGCTGCAATTTTATTTTTGCCCCTGAACGCAAAACAAAACACCCATCACCGAGGATTGGAGCCTACATCTAAAGTATGAAAACACAGCATTTTTACCGCTCGGCCAGCCGCCTATCAGCGTTACATATTTTATGATAATAAGATGGAGATTAATTGGCCACACCCTGGCGAGAGGTGAACAGAACAGGCACTGAAATGGGAAACACATGAATTGAGGAGATGAGAACGAGAAAATTAATGAAACTAACTTTGACGATACTCGTTACTTGTTACCCGTAACACATTCTAGCACAACTGCCCGACACAAAAGTGCTCTGTCTTCCGATGCAGAAGCCATCTTGGTGCCTCCATGCTCAACGTCCCCAGAAGGAGTTGACTGGTATATCTTCTTTCTGTAGCCCGCAACCGATTTATGTGTGCCTGTATGACATCTAAATGTCCATTTCTGATAGGCTGTTCACCGTCTCTGATTCCTTTCTTTCAATGTCTCTGGAACGCCGTGTATTCATTGTGTTTGTCTTTCTGTACTTCTTCGTCCACTAGCTACTGAAGACACGGCCAGTATGTCAGCTCTTTCGTTTTCTTTCACCCTGATGTGTCCCGGTGTTAGCCGTGCTAGTTTCTGGAGGCGGGACTTCATAATGGTGTCAGCCCATTCTTGTTGTAGCCGGTGGAGGTGATAGGAAAGACCAAAGGCGAATTCTGTCATATGACGTCGAAAAGACTACACAGAATTGACCGGAATGGAGGAATCGACTGCGAGACATTCTTGGTGCTTACCGACTCAACGATATGGTCAACTCATATCTAGGCGACCATATTTTTTTTTCTTTCAAATGTCCAGAAACCATGAGTTGTTAACCCTTTGGCTCGGTACTATGGATATCGCAACCCTTCGGCCTTGATTCCATGATAGGTACCGTTAATCTGGGAAAAAATGTGGCTTTTCTGTCTACACCGGAAGTGAACCCGGACCACAAGGGGTTCGTCACCCGGTCAACCGCGCAGTCCGGTTTAGCTAACTACGCTAGAGAGCCGGGCCAAGGCGACCATTAGTACCCATTGGAACGCTTCCTACCCAGGATACAGTCTTGAAGCCCCAATCAACTTGCTGATACAAAAGTAAGACACAGGGGACTGCAGCCATGGGTACACGAAATTCTAGATAGGGGATTCACACCTTTGCCCATGTGGGCAGGCACCACACGATACTGAACATGTGCTACAGACATACTCTCGAGGCAGGCTGGCTACGCAGACAGTGGTGTGAGCCATTGCAAAACTCTCCTGTGTGTGCAGTTACTTTTATATTCGTCCCAGGGCATGCAGGCGTTGTTGGTAATGAATGAGCTGACAGACTATCAGAAGCTGCATTAATTGAAGATGGCCGTCAGACATTGTCATTGCCCTTAGAGAGATAGAACGTTCTGGGGATTTTAGAAGCAACGTGTCCAGCAAAATCCCATGTTTCGCTGGTTGGCACTCCAATGGAATCTAACATACATGGAACACTGGAATACATGCGTCCCACCACAGACTTCATAGAGGTCTGTGGCCTTCTCATCTGAAAACCACTGCCATTGAGGATATAAAGAAGAAAAGAAAAATAAATTCATTCTGCACATTTTACAATACTTCCTTTCCTATGCGTCTGGAATATAAACCTCTTTTCCCCTCCGCGGAAGCCAATCATTGTTTAATCAATACTGCAGTATGTGGGAGAGCTTGTTCATTAAGCAAAAATATCCTTGAACTTTGAACAGTTATTTTATAGGACTCTAATTCGTTAACGTTTTAACATTGGCGTAGCGAGTCGGGCGACAAATGAAATCTTTCAGATTGGTTGAACTTTGGAGCTTCCGGTAAATTAGGAAATAATAAGGTGAATGAATGTTTGTTGAGAAAGTCGTCTGTCTTGTTAGGAAACTATGTACCGACATTCCCCTTTTTTTCCCTTCTTTCTATGTTTTTGATAAGTTACCTGGCTATCTGCTCCTCGTTTCACTTTACCAGCCATCTTGAGAAGTTTTCCCAATAGCAATCTTTGTTGGACTAGCAGTTGCATTAAACCGAACTTATTCTTTTCATAAGCTTTCATAAAGTTCAGTTTTGTTTGTTTGTTGGTTCTATGGTGTTTTAGTTACATCTATGGATATGTGCTTGTTGTTAACATTAATATATATTTGTTCCCCGGAAAATAGACTAGAAGAGACAATTTCATGTTTTTGAATAAGGATTTTCGTTTCATTGGATATTTAAATGGACGGTTAACTGTTTTCCTTGGTCGGTGGTTGTAGTTTACAGAAGACGAAGTGGACATTGTCAGTAAGCTGTCTGTGGAAAAAAATAAAAAGTTAAATGTGTTTCACACACTTGAAACTGTATAGGTCTAGTCGCCATGTGGAGTGTCGGCTGATAAGATGTGACTGTTGAAGTGCTGCAGATTTGGAACTAGCAAGACTTAACATTCCAGGAATTCCAACATGGTGCCTCTAATTATGTCGGTTTCAAGAGAAGACAACCCCAGCAGCGCTTTTGAAGAGTTCGGCACGCACTTGTCCCTGTATGATGATAGTTTCCATTTTGTTGAGAAGCCAGTGCCAGCAGCGTCGTCTTCGCCGTTGCCAGCCGTGGAAGACTCTAAGGTAGGAGCGTACTTTACAAGAACACCCGGCTTTGCTCCAGTTTCTTACCAGCACAAACACTGAATACATCTTTAAGAGGTTTTGAGATGCGTATGATGACACGATGAAAGTGAGGCACTGAAACCTCAAAGCACTTTAAGACTTTCCTCCCTCCCTCAACCCCCCCCCCCCCGCCCCCTCCCCAATCCATTTTTTTTCCACCAGTTTTTAAATTTTTATTTTAGTTTGTAAATGTGATAAGCTGCCCCTCATCCCCAGTCACCAAAAAATGAATTTCTTTGTCGTCGTCTTCGTCTTTTTCTTTTTCTTCTTCTTCTTCTTCTTCTTCTTTCCTTTTTTTCTTCTTTTTCTTCTTCTTCTTCTTCTTCTTCTTCTTCTTCTTCTTCTTCTTCTTCTTCTTCTTCTTCTTCTTCTTCTTCTTCTTCTTCTTCTTCTTCTTCTTCTTCTTCTTCTTCTTCTTCTGCTGCTGCTGCTGCTTCTTCTTCTTCTACTTCTTCTTCTCTTCTTCTTCTTCCTCTTCTGGAGCCTTTGAGGTTCATTGCTGCAGATATCACCCATTTGCATTTATCTCTGTCCAGTCGGAGACACAAAGTGTTTGTAGATCTGCCTGTACATTATCTCTCCGCTGTCTTCTTGGCCTGCCTTGTTGTCTGGGCCACGTGACAACAGCAGTCCTGAAATCCTACGTTGTGAAACTTTGCTTAACGCCGGCGGGTCTTGCTAGTCACAATCGCCATCGCCATGTGATGTGGGTCCCAATCTCATAGCACAGTATAACACCATCGTCTGGAAAGACAGAAAGGTGCCAGTCCATCTAACAATCTCTCAATATGCCCCAGCCATTTCAGTCTATTAGCCCTCATGATGCCAGTGATCAATGGTGATTCAAAAAGATTATAAATTTCATTGTTGCTTCTCACTCTCCATTTCTCGCTGTTTGCATCTTTGATGGGTCCAAAGATTCGTCGAAACTTTGTTTTCAAAGATTTTAATAAGGCTTCATCTCTTTGTGCTCCAAATTTCCGAGCCGTATAAAGCAACTGGTCTTATCAACGTTTTATTTGTTTTGATCTTGGTGTTGTGAGACACAGACTATGACTTTAGCAGATGTTGTAGGGCATAGAATACTTTATTTCCAAAAGAGAAGCATGCATATCATAATGTTTCAAAAATATTGTAATATTTATTTCTCATTCAGCACATTATCTTCATCATCATTATTAAGCACTTAAACAAGACTTAGATCCCTTGAACCAACTCCAGAAAATGTTTACAGGACTGTCATGCATATGGCATATCAATTTTATTATAGAACACCATATCAATTTTATTATAGAACACCATATCAATTTTATTAAAGAACACCATATCAATTTTATTAAAGAACACCATATCAATTTTATTAAAGAACACCATATCAATTTTATTAAAGAACACCATATCAATTTTATTATAGAACACCATATCAGTTTTATTAAAGAACACCATATCAGTTTTATTAAAGAACACCATATCAGTTTTATTAAAGAACACCATATCAGTTTTATTAAAGAACACCATATCAATTTTATTAAAAACACCATATCAGTTTTATTAAAGAACACCATATCAATTTTATTAAAGAACACCATATCAATTTTATTAAAGAACACCATATCAGTTTTATTATAGAACACCATATCAGTTTTATTAAAGAACACCATATCAATTTTATTAAAGAACACCATATCAATTTTATTAAAGAACACCATATCAATTTTATTATAGAACACCATATCAGTTTTATTAAAGAACACCATATCAATTTTATTAAAGAACACCATATCAATTTTATTAAAGAACACCATATCAATTTTATTAAAGAACACCATATCAATTTTATTATAGAACACCATATCAGTTTTATTAAAGAACACCATATCAGTTTTATTATGGAACACCATATCAATTTTATTATAGAACACCATATCAGTTTTATTAAAGAACACCATATCAATTTTATTAAGAACATCATATCAATTTTATTAAAGAACACCATATCAGTTTTATTAAAGAACACCATATCAGTTTTATTAAAGAACACCATATCAATTTTATTAAGAACACCATATCAATTTTATTATAGAACACCATATCAGTTTTATTAAAGAACACCATATCAATTTTATTAAGAACACCATATCAATTTTATTAAAGAACACCATATCAATTTTATTAAAGAACACCATATCAATTTTATTAAGAACACCATATCAATTTTATTAAAGAACACCATATCAGTTTTATTATGGAACACCATATCAGTTGTATTATAGAACACCCGTACTACCATGCTGAATGTTGCACTTCAGTTGAAAGGATCGATAGGATCGACTTGATTGCCTCGTCAAATGGCTGGGTCTCTCTCAGCAGAGCGGCCAGTCGCCTGTCGAGAGGAGCTCTTCCCTTTCCAAAAACATTTGTAGTTCAACAGCAATAATCTTTTCTAGCACTTCGCCAAACGTTCTTTGTAGAGTGGTAATTCTGAAACCGCTGAATCTGGAATGATCTTTGCCTGGTTTTGAAGTGTTAGCCAGAAATGTATACACAGTTACAGCCCAGCAGTGAAGTGTATCGACATGTACGATATTTGCGGTATTGCGTTACGTTAGCAAAGTGTTTAACTCTTTGAGTCCCAAGGAACGCATCATATGTTCATGGCTTCCTACCCAGAAGCCCAATGTACGCATGATGCGCCGATTTTATGACTTTTTTTACTAACCCCTGGGCCTGTGATGCTAAACCCCCTGGGACTCAAAGAGTTAAGGGGATTGACCAAGTTGAAATCGTAAAATTTGACCATTTTGGGTTTCCGTATATAATTCACAATTATCCATAGTAGAAAACAGCTGTGCAAACGGGGTTTAAAATGGAGTATGTTTTAATTAAGTTTATTCAACAACATGTATGAACATTTTGATACTAATTTTCCCGGCTCGCAAGCGTAGTTGGTTAAACCTGCCTTCGCGGCGACCGGGTAACGAACTTCTTGTGGTCCGGGTTCACGCCCGGGGGTAGACAGAAAAGCCACATTTCTCCCAGATTTACGGTATCTATCATAGAATCAAGGCCGAGGGGTTGCGATATCCTTAGTAACAAGTCAATAGGTTAACAAATCATGGTTTCTGAATATTTAAAAAAAAATGATTCTAATTTTATTCAGTCACGAAGAGATATGATGTTACATGTGATGTATGGAGTTACTACAGAAGTTTAAGGTGATTTCCATTAGCCTCCAAACAGTTTTCATAACCACAGTATAACATATAGCTACCGTAATTCAATCGAAGTATGGCGGAATATGTCTCGTAATGATAACGTTTTCAAACAAATTGCCTCAGCGAAAATGTTTATCCATCTATCTAGTCCTCTGTCTGTCCATTCCTCGACCTGTCCATAATCCACCAATGCTATCAAAATGTCTTGTATGCGTGCCTGTGTGTGCGCGTACGTGCGTGAGGGACATTTATTCCCTCCAGGCTCCTACCTAAACAGTCTGACACCCCAAGATCAGAAGATCTCAATCCGGCAACCAGGTCAACAGGACCTGAAGGTTTGACACCACCGTGAGACTAACAAATTCTCCGTGCTGATGGCAGACAAACAACAGAGCCAGCTAGATACCCTGTTCAGTTTCCAAGAAGGTATAATTAGCAACCACCCGTAACGGCCACAATGGCCCGGTGTAACCTGCAGATCTGCCTAGCTAAGATGCGCTGCAAACTTCTTGCACAGCCGGGCCTGTTAACCTTCCACCAACATGGACATGACTCTCCCACAAATCAACTAATTTGGAAAGCATGTATAGCAGAGGTCTCTAAGCGATTTTGAAATTTGAGTGCATTTATACTGGTGATAATCAGGATTTTCAGACAGAACCAGAGCGCCTAACTACTAATGGTGTGACGGTAAAGCATACTTGATTGTGTACAACTATATACTCATGGGACGCATATATATATATATATATATATATATATATATATATATATATATATATATATATATATATATATATATTATTTTATTCCACATCATGCATCCATTGTAAACATGACGTGTGGGACTCAAAACAGGGATTGTTTGACAGCAAATAGAAAAGAGCAATGAATTTATACGGACAGAACCAGAGCACCTAACTACTAATGGTGTGATGGTAAGGGCTGGCGACGTGATGCAGAAACTTCCGGCAAAAAGCCACGCTAGAATCCAACAAGGCGACAACGATGAGGAGTGATTGAATGGTTTCCTGCCCTCTATCACCTTCCCCTTTCCTACTTCTTTCGGATGCACTATGAGTGCAATTCCATCCCCACCCCATCCCTCAGATCTTCGCCGATAGCACTTGAGTTCGGTACCCCACAGGCCACAACAATCCTCATCGCCGAACATTTGGATTTCAAAGCTTGAGCTGGGGGGTTCTGGGGATCTGATATTTACGTACATCAGAGCCTGTCCACCAACCTAAACCTATACAATCGGACCAAACTAAGATCAATGACGGACTGAATCAGCATGAAACTTCACCTATCATCACATACACAACATTGTGACATGCCTAATCCGCTCTTATTACAGGAAGACAACTATAGGACCACTACGGTCCCACGCGAAATATTTTCACAATTTCGGATCTATCGAAAACAAAAATTGTTTTCAGTATCTTTTGGCAAAGTAAAATATTCAAAATTTTAAAACTATAAATGGTGGTCCAAAGGACGTTATGTGGATGTGGAAAGCTTGCTCTCCTACGAGATACCCTGGCCAAAATAGAAGGACCAAGAGAAAAAAGGAACCACCAAGAAGGAAAGGACAGGAGGAGCTCACCTGGACACAGAAAAGGATCGAACGAAGTGACTGGGAAAGAAGAAGTACTAAGCCCAGAGACGACGCGAGTACCAGAGCTTTAGCCACGAAAGTAGCGCAGTTAACCAGACCACAAATATAACCGAAGACTGTTG